TCGGTAATCTTATTTTTGTTATAATTTTACCTCTTATTAATAAAATTTTGGACAATAATGCCCTTGTTTTAAAAACAATTTACATTAATCTGTCATTACAATTTTACCTTTGTTTAATTAAGTTTTTGGACAATAATGCCCTTGCAGACCACTACCGCTACCTAGCCACCATTGTCGACAGCTTGCCAACCACTGGTAGCCGTGGCCGGGAGTCTCCAATATGGCCGTTTCTGGCCATATTGATGGTTGGAAATGACCAGATTAGATCTGGCCATTTTCCAGCTAGAGCGGCACACGGAGACCATTTCCGACTAACCATGTGCCGTTGGGTTGCCGGCTGCCGGCAATGGCTGGGTTGTTGGGGGTGCATTCGTTGATTTTCCAAACTTTTATTATGGGGTTGTTTTGCTAAGTTTTTAAATATAGGGGGTTATATAAGAATCTAAATAATAATATTTAATAAGAGGCCAATTCAATAATTAAAATAACAAACCCACCAATCTATTCATATTTTCTCCCAATTAAACATATTAATGTAACATACTCACAAATTTAATATAACCAATCAAACACATTTTTAATAATCTTCAAGATAATATATTTTTCCATTAATATAACATTCTCAGTAATACAATATTCTTGAATAAAACGCATCTTGAGGATTAAAGCGTAAATTGTCCCAAAAATCGTATTACCAATTGTTTGAAGGAATTGGGAAAAATTATCCTTTTCAATTCAACCTTAACAGGTTAAAAGGGTGGCGTGCCGTTGAATTGAAGGTAGCAATTGTTATTTGTATTTGGCTTTAGAAGCACATTTAGAGTCAAAATCAGAATTGTCCGTGCCTCTATACGGCGTTTAACTTTACGAATTTTGCTTACGCTTTGGATTTGACTAAGAGAATGAGACACTGATAATGACTTTAACATGAGTCGGCACAAGCACTTCAATTCATGGGATTGAATTTTAATGGAGATCAATGCCTCTTCTCTTTAGTGTCTTCCTTGAATTTTTTAATAAAGAATGTCATGAACTGTTTTTTAGTAAAGGCATTGTCCATCAAAGCTCATGTGCTTATTCCCCTCAACAAAATGGAGTTGTTGATTTTGTTGAGGGGAAACATAGACACATCATTGCAGTAGCTAAGGCTTTGAAATTCCAGTCCAATATACCAAATCATTTGTGGGATATTGTGTGCAAACAGTGGTTTACCTTATAAATAGGTTTCCTTAATCAATTCTCAAAGGTATATCACCTTTTGAAAGATTTTTTGGTCACCCTCCTTCATTGGATCACATCAAGGTTTTTGGTTGTTTAGCTTATGCTACCATTCTCATCCCTAAGGACAAATTGTCACCTAGATGTACCCCTTGTGTCTTTTTGGGTTATTCTTTGACTCAAAGGGGATACTTTCTTTATGATCTTTCTTCTCATAAAGTTTTTGTCACAGGAGATGTTCTTTTTCATGAGGCCATTTTTCCTTTTACTTGGATTACATCTCCACAATCACCTTTTCCCTTTGATCCTGAATTTTTGGGTATTGAGTTGCCTTTTACAACTACATCCCCTACTGTTCCTTTATCAGTTGATTTATTTCCTGTTGTTGGAATGCAGAACCTACAAGACCTCCCTCTCCGTCTATTAATTCATCTCCACCTCAACCTATCATTCCTCTTAGGAAATCCAGTAGAACCAAAAGGCCCCCTATCTGGACATCAGATCTTGTTTGTCCATTTATTTCTCCTTCCACTTCAACTTCAGCCAATTGCATCCCATATCCTATCTCTCATTTTGTATCTTATAGTCATATTTTACTAAGCTACCAAGCCTTCTTATCCCATCTCAATCTAGTAGAACCCTCTTCTTTCAATAAAGCTTCTCAAGACCCTAATTGGGTAGCTGCCATGCAAAAGGAGATACAAGCTTCGGAATTAAATAAAACCTGGTCCTTAGTTCCTTTACGGTAAGACTCCAATTGGTTGTAAGTGGGTCTATAAACTCAAATATAATGTTGATGGTCCCTTGGAAAGATATAAGGCAAGATTGGTGGCAAATGGGTACACTTAAAAGGCAGGTGAGGATTATGTAGAAACATTTTCTCTTGTTGTTAAAATGGTTACCATTAGGTCCATTTTATCACTTGCTTCCATGCATAATTGGCCAATTTACCAAATGGATGTGGATAATGCATTTTTGCTAGGGGATTCACAAGAAGAGATTTGTATGACTTTGACAACCAGGCTGCTAATCACATTGCATCAAATCCCATCTTCCATGAGAGGACTAAACACATCGACATTGATTGCCACATTGTGAGAGAACAACTCAAACTAGGAGTCATTACCACTGCCTATATTCCATCATCTAAACAGCCTGCAAACTTGCTCACTAAAGCTCTTGTTAGTCCACTGTATTCCAGATTGTTAAGCAAGTTGGGTGTGCTTACCTGAAAAGGGGGGGGGGGGGGGGGGGTTAACAAGCGCTGATTTATTAAGTACTGTACAGTTTAGTTTGTTTGTTTAAACTGTAAAGTTAGTTACTGTTATTGTTAAGAGAGTTAGTTACAAGTTTGGTTAATTATTAACTAGAGTTAGTTAACTGCAGTTAGTAGCTTACTGGGTTAGTTTGCAAGTATAAAAGCAGTGTGCAAATTGTATTTGTTGATCGATGAAATAAACATATGTTTGCCCAATGTTCTCTCCTCAACATTGTAAAATAGAATGATTCTTGAGTTAAGGTTATAAAATAATTGTGTATTTATTTACTTATTTAAAAGAAAAAGAAAACTATTTTAATTTTTTGAATTGAATAGAGTATGATTTATTTATTATTTAGTTTGATCTTGCAAAAATAAATATTTTTGTCTTTTTAGTCGACTTGATTTAACCTATAAACAAAAATTGTGGGAAAATAACGACTTCATCCCTAAAATTTGACATAGCTACACTTGATCACCTTAGGGTATGTTTTGTTGGAGGTATTGTTGGATTACTAAGATAATATCATCTTATATTACTTGATTACTACGTTTAGTTGTCTAGTAATATAAGATTTTGGTAATCTTTTAAAACCAATAGTAGTTACTATTAGTAATATAGGAGGTAATCTAATTGCTTCTATTTTCTTTGGTATTTTAAGATTACTCGGTAATCTTATTTTTGTTATAATTTTACCTCTTATTAATAAAATTTTGGACAATAATGCCCTTGTTTTAAAAACAATTTACATTAATCTGTCATTACAATTTTACCTTTGTTTAATTAAGTTTTTGGACAATAATGCCCTTGCAGACCACTACCGCTACCTAGCCACCATTGTCGACAGCTTGCCAACCACTGGTAGCCGTGGCCGGGAGTCTCCAATATGGCCGTTTCTGGCCATATTGATGGTTGGAAATGACCAGATTAGATCTGGCCATTTTCCAGCTAGAGCGGCACACGGAGACCATTTCCGACTAACCATGTGCCGTTGGGTTGCCGGCTGCCGGCAATGGCTGGGTTGTTGGGGGTGCATTCGTTGATTTTCCAAACTTTTATTATGGGGTTGTTTTGCTAAGTTTTTAAATATAGGGGGTTATATAAGAATCTAAATAATAATATTTAATAAGAGGGCAATTCAGTAATTTAAATAACATGCCCACCAATCTATTCTTATTTCCTCCCAATTAAACATATTAATATAACATACCTACCAATTTAATATAACCAACCAAACACATTTCCCTAAACATTCCTAATAATCTTCAAGATAATATATTTTTCCATTAATATAACATTTTCAGTAATACAATATTCTTGAATCAAACGCATCTTGAGGATTAAAGCGTAAATTTTCCCAAAAATCGTATTAGCAATTGTTTGAAGGAATTGGGAAAAATTATTCTTTTCAATTCAACCTTAACAGGTTAAACGGGTGGCGTGCCGTTGAATTGAAGGTAGCAATTGTTATTTGTATTTGGCTTTAGAAGCAGATTTAGAGTCAAGATAAGAATTGTCCGTGCCTCTATACGGCGTTTAACTTTACGAATTTTGCTTACGCTTTGGGTTTGACTAAGAGAATGAGACACTGATAATGACTTTAACATGAGTCGGCACAAGAACTTCAATTCATGTGATTGGATTTTAATGGAGATCAATGCCTCTTCTCTTTAGTGTCTTTAGTCTCTAACTCAATTATAATACATCTAAATCATATTTTTATTATGGGTATGACGCATGCTGGATTTTTATGCCTTTGGTATACCCACTACATTGATTTTTATATAATTTAATATCTTTTTAAAAGTAACCAATTATGTCTTATTTTTTTATTCTTTCTTTTTTGGGTTTAAATATTTTAATAAAAGTAAATTATTTATTATTCATATTATCATATGTAATTTAAGTTACATATGTAAATTCATGTTACATATTTATGTGGTATAAATATAAATTTAAACAAATTAAATTACATGATATCATGATCTTTCAAGGACAACGAAATCACATTATTTATATTATAATTTACTTTCTCATAATAAGAGTAATTATGTCCTAATCATATAATTAAACGCGAGAGATTTGAGATTATTATTTTAACAAATTTTGTACCTATTTTTCTCTGCCTTTTCTTTTTGAAAAGTAAAATACTTGAAAAAAGAAATGAGCCATAAAATTCAGTGCCTGTCGCTTTACGAAACGCATTTCCCAAATTGACCCTACCAAAATCCAAAACCATTTATTGTTACGATGTCTAACATCGGAAAAAGAAGTCCGGAATGTTTGTTACTTTCCTCATATGGGACACACTATCTGGATAACCAAACAAGTCCCTCCTACATCAACGGACCAAGTCCAACGAAGAAAACTGCTTACTTCTTACCAAAAAAACACGTACTGAGTTTAACTAGAATATGAGTTTGAAACGTGTCAGTCAACAAAGAGAACATTCCAAAACCTAAACAGAAATTCAGAAACTGGTAATAAAAATCTTGCGCGTATTCTAAGCTGAAAGATTTTCCTTCTTTATCTCTAAATTTTCTCCATAAATTGCGCCATTTGCTCACAGGTGCCAACGTCTGCCTCCACAGATTTCGCTTTCTACAAGTGGAGACTCCACTATCTCCAATGCGTTTGACACAAATTCTAATTCTATTTCCATGTTAAAGTCACATTTCTCTTCATTAACTTTGCTTAGGATTCAATATTACACACGCAGAGGTTGATTGAATTGATGGGTACCAAAAAATTTTTTACGCTCACCACCCATTTAGATTTTGTTCATACATGTTTTATCAAGGAGTTTTTGCGCGGGGATATGGTTAGCTCTGTTGATTCTTTCAGGGTTTTTGTGTCCAAGTTCTTGCTTTTTGTTTTCGGATCAGTAGTTACATATATTTTCAGGTATGATCAATCTAGTATTTTGTCTTTGTTCATCTTCTTTATGGTTTTTGGTTGGTTGAATTAATGAGTTTGCTTTTGTATTTGGCAGCTTCAGGCGGTCTGGTAGTAATCATCAAATTGATTCATATTGTTGTAGGGATTCAAAGATTGATGAATTTGTCGGAGAAGAGAATGGTTTTCAGGTTCCGAAGGGAGATCGAATTAATGAATCCGACGAAGTAAATGACAACTCTGTTTTCATGGAAACTAGTAAGTATGAGTTCTTATCTGGGAAACATTTCAGTGGATTCTTGGAAGAACCAAAAAATTTGGTCTTTTCTGTTCAAGAATTTTATACGGGTGGCTCCAGTGATTCTACCAACACTGATAATGGAATTTTTTATACTGAAGAAGAAGCTTTTCATCAGGAGAAAGCAGAGGACTCTGTTGAAAATGTTTTGATTAAACAAGAGGAAACTTTCACTGACGATGAAGAGAGAGTTTTCACTGAATATAAATTTATGCACAACTATGATAGTTTAAGTAAAGTTGCTTATAATTTCGAAGATAAGTCCTTGCCAGTTGATTCAGAGTTGGATACGACCGACTCGAGTGATGTTTGTGATTCAACTGAAAGCGTTGAGGCCAAATTCGAGGAGAAGGTGGAAAATATTGAAAGCATGATGGCTAAAGCCACATTTATTATGGATAACCAAACAATTTATTCTGATGATGATTACATAGAATTGAAACTTGAGTCTCAAAATTCAAGTCTCTTGGATGAGGATATGTATTCTATTCAGGATTTGATGGAAGCTGACAATAAAAATGAGGAGGAAGATTTAGTTCATAAAGAGACAGAACCAGTTGATCATAGTGCTAGTATTTCTGAAGAACCTCAATTGCATAATTTATGTAGCTTGGATGAGGAAATTTTGTTTAGAGAGAACTTGAATGAAGCTGAGGACCATCATGAGGAGGAAGATGGTTCAGTAGAATTTGAAGAACCGAGCTACGAGCGGAAAGGATTCATCTCAGATTATGATGCTGATGATGATGAAGATGATTTGGAGTTCTCAAAAGAACATGAGGATATTATAGAGCAGTTGAGAATGGAACTCAGAAAGGCCAGAACCGGAGGGCTTGCAACCATTATGGAAGAAGCAGAGTCAGAGTCTCAGTCTCCAAAGATGGTTGAGGAACTAAAACCATTGAAGATTGATAAAAAGTTGGAGCACAAAGATCGAATGGTAGAAATTCACAAGTTCTATAAAAGCTACTTAAACAAAATGCGAAAATTGGATGTCTTGAATTGCCAGACCATGCATGCAGTTGGTAAGTTAATCAACAACCCTCTTTCTCCTGTAATTAGTCCACAAATCTCACCTTCTCCCATGAAAAAGTTAGTACTATTTGCTGCGTCTTTGAACCATTCAATCTATTGACTCCAGTATCATTTACGAGTCTTAGTCATTGAGGTTTTAAAAAAGGTCCTCTGTTTCTTTAATTACACTTTATTGGCAACAATCAATTAATTTCTAGTCTATTACCTTTTTGACTACTTGGGGGGTGGGGGGTGGGTATATATTAAAATTGCAAATAGTAGAACAAATTCGTTTTCTTCACGGACATCTCCATAAAGTATTATTGCATGGTGGGTCTCATCTCGTTCCATTATTTATATTCTCACCCATAAATCACTAATTTCGTATCAGAAATAAAGCTGATGAGAATTTGTTTTCCAGGCCATGGACCCATGCATGCTGTTTAATATCATTCAATTCACTCTATTGACACATTCATAACATTATTCGAGTCAATTTCTATTGTGGTCCTGTAAGTTGTAACATAGCATTAATTATAGGCTTTGACATTATTTCCTGAAATTTGACATGCTTGATGTTATAATAAACTTTGTGATCATCTATAGGTTTACTTCAACTGAAAGAGCCATGTCAATTGATTAAAACCCAGAAGTCTGCAGTTCCAGCAATTAAATCTCTTCTCTCACAGAACTTATGGTGTTACAAACCGCAGAGGTCTGAATCCAACTCAACACTTAAGTTCATTGGAGAACTGCACAGGGATTTTGAGTTGGTGTATGTTGGACAACTCTGTCTGTCCTGGGAAATTCTCCATTGGCAATATAGGAAAGTCTTTGAATTGCTGGAATATGATTGTCAACAACTTCGTCAGTATAATCAAGTTGCTGATGAATTCCAAATTTTTCAAGTGCTTCTGCAAAGATTTGTCGAGAATGAACCATTCCAAGGCCACCCCCGAGTCCAAAATTATGTTGAGAGTCGGCGTGCTTATTGCAATCTTCTTCAAGTTCCTGCCATTAAAGGTGAATACATTTCGCTAGGTGTTCTTTACATGTATATATGCTTTTACATTACTTGCATCGATTGTATAATAAAAGTTAAATGACATCAAAACAATTGCATTACAGATGATAATTTGAAGGATAAGAAGGGAAGAGGAAGAGACGAAGAAGACACAATTACAAGCGCAATGTTAACAGAAATAATAAAAGAATCGATACGGGTGTTCTGGGAGTTTCTTCGTGCTGATAAATGTGAAGCTGATGTGACGCTAAATAGTCCTGAGCTCCAAGACTCCATAGATTCAGAGCTTCTAATAGATATCCGAACAGATTTTCAAAAGGTTTGCTTCGATAACTAACTCATTTCATTGGTAAAGTCTGGTCGATCCGATCAGTTAATGGATCTTTTAATTTTTATCTTATGCAGAAGGAGAAAAGGCTAAAAGAAATATTGAGAACTGGTAGCTGCATAGTCAAGAAAATCCAAAAGCATCATGAAGGCAGATTAAATTACGCAATGTTATTCGCCCAGGTTGAATTGAAACTGGTTTCAAGAGTGCTAAATATGTCAAAATTAACAAGAGATCAATTAGTATGGTGCCATGAGAAGCTAGCCAAAATTAATTTTTTGAACAGAAAACTAGTCTTAGAACCCTCATTCTTGCTCTTCCCTTTTTGACAAACATGCTCCTTGAAGAGATTTATACAAACAGATACGAACAAAGTTTGATATAGAATTTAGAGTATACTGGGTGCTCAAATCATTATACAGTTGTGTATAAATTAGATTGTAGAACAATTACTGATTCAATCAGGGTTGATTTACAAATTCCCTGATATATACCTGTTATGTTGTTCTTTTCTCTCTTAATGTGATTTGCCAAGGCTCAAAGGCAAATGTTACTATACATTCATAAATTATTTGATGATTTTTACTTTAGTATTCTTTTTCAAAGGCTCTTGCTTTTGGCCCAATATAAATGAAGCAATTCTATCATCGATGGAGAATATCATCCGGATCTGATCATTTGGCTTGACTAAGAAACCAAACAATAACTGATTTTTCTACTTTTATTTTTACAAAACAGAGAATTGACATATCTAAAGAGAGGTAAAAATTCCAATTCTTCATTTCAAAACAATATTTTTATCACAAATGACAAAATTATAAACAGAAAAAAAATTGACATATTTAAGACAAACTCTTTGAGACGAAAAAAAAAAAGTCCTAAATTGAAGAGGTTTTATTAATAAATTTCATATTTTTCATTATTTTCTTTGTTTTTTTAAACAACCTATACCAAACTTATTTTATTTAGAAAACGAAATTCGTGTGCTTGTGGTTTTCGGTAGTCATTTCATTTTGGAATTTTACATTAAATTAAATAAATATATTACTTATTAACATTTTAGAAAATTAAATTAGTGTGTACGTGGACAACCCAAAGCCACCCCATACCCATTACAAACCCAATAGGTTTACCTAAACTTAACTCTATCCTTAATGGGGTGGCACCCCAAAATTAATTGGGCAGATTCAACAGAGTTTTGTTGTCATGCCTAGTTTTTAAAAAACCATATGGCATGTGTTCCTAGTTTTAAAAAAAAACCACATGACATGTGTTTTCATTCTTTTTTTTAATATTTTTTAAAACATTATTTTTAGATAACATGTCAAAAACGGATAGAATTTGAGGTGAGTCTGACTCCAAATAAGGTCTGGTTGAATAGGAGAATTACCCCCTCTTATAATGAGTCTTACTCTAATAAAACCTTATTGAATGAGAGGATTATCATTTATTATAAACTAGTAGATCTCATACTAATAAGACATTAATGAATAAGAGGATTATTCACTCTTATAAACTACTAAGCTTGAGCGTGGGTTAATTGCAAAGACTGATTTAGAAATTTGATTATTTTAAAGAAATGATAATATTATGTAAACCTTAAGAGTAGTAATACGCCCACAACTAATCTCACAACTTTATTTTACAATCCCAACGCAGCAGTTGAATTGACAACTGTCACGTCAGCTCTTACCACATTCAAGGCATTAAATGACTTTGACAGTTTGACTAGACACAAATAGTCGTTTCTAGGGATGAATGATCGTTCGTCTCTAAGGAACGACCATTCATGTTGAATCAAAATAGTCAGTTGACATGATAGTGCCAACTTTGCTGCCATGTTAGGGTTGTAAGGAAATGCTGTGAGATTGAGTTATAAACGTAGTATTTTTGAAACCTTAATTCCCAAAAACTTGATCCATTGTGAAGTCAAAGGTAATTCTCTCTTCTTACCTTTTTGTTTTTGAATAATACTACACATACAATATTTTCATATAACATGACGTGACAAAAGATGATTGGATAAAAAATTATTTTTAATTTAAAATCAACCAATCATCTTTTGCCACATTATGTTGTATGAGAAATGTTATATAAAAATATTGTATGTGTAATATTATGCTTTGTTTTTCTCATTTGAATCAGAAGATATAATCATTTGAAAATAATGTAAATTCACAATTGTTTATCGAAATATTTGTTGCATTTTATCTTTATTTGACAAATAAGAGGGGAGGTTAGTTTAAGGCTCCGTTTGGTTCACTTTTTACACTTTTTAAAAAAGTTTTTGGAAAAAAAGTTAAAAAAAGTTGAATTGAGCGGGTATTACGATGTATGATTTCGAAATAAATAAAAATACCCCTTATGTTTGTTTATTTACTAAACACCCCTATAATAAAACATTAAAAGTTAACAAAAACACCCACAACCCACCCATTAAATATGGACAACTGGCTACCACCGTCGGAGGGTGGCCGGAGTCGTCGTAACGACACATGACCGGCTGGATCTTGCCGATCGTGCGTCGATATGACCTTTTCTGACCAGATCCACGGTGGATCTGGCCGGCAAAGGCCAGATCTACGGTTAGATCTGCCATTGACGGCCAGATCTAGTCGTATTTTCTCGTCAACGACGGCCAAAGATACGGCCATCGTTGATGGTCAACAACGACCATGTGTTGGTTGACGATTGGCTACGGCTAAAGATCTGGCCGTCACTAGATCTTTGGCCTTAGATCTGGTCGAAAAAGGCTAGATCGGCGTATTACCGGCCAGATTCAGTCGGCAGTGCGCCATTATACCAGATTCAGACCATTTTTCGGCAGTGGTGGCCGGAATCTGGTAAATATGGGTTGTTGGGGTTTTTTTGTAATTTCTAAAAAAAATTTTAGGGGTATTTAATTAAATTAACAAATTTAGGGGGTTTAAAAAAGTTGAATAATATTGAATAATTTTGTGAGTTTTTACAATTTTACTGTTTAACTTTACTGGAAATACTAATAGTAGTATTTCCAAAAGAGAACCAAACGGAACCTAAATTTCTGGAACCTTTAGGGTCCACGTTATAACCGAAATTTAGGTAGGTAAGTAAAAGAAACAAAGCCTTACACAATATGCAAAAACAAACCACTCACTAGATGCCATGTGGCAAAAACAAGCAACTGAAGGTTACCGTTAGACCAAAAGTCAAGATAAAATTTCGGTCGTTGGATCTAGGGCATCAAAAACTACAATCTCTCTTTATATTGTTTCTCACATATTTACAAAACCCCTCCTCTGCTTCGGCTCCATATCTTTCAAAACCCTAGGAGAGAGAGCAAGCTCGAGTCACTCTAAAAATGGTCCAGCGGCTAACTTACCGCAAGCGGCACAGCTATGCCACCAAATCCAATCAGCACCGCGTTGTCAAAACCCCTGGTAATATTTTCGTGCTCCTTCAATTTAGCTTCGTTGATGTTGATCTGTGTGCGACATTCCTAAGTTTGGTGAATATGTTGTGGATATGTAGGAGGGAAGTTGGTGTACCAGACTACCAAGAAGAGAGCTAGTGGCCCCAAGTGTCCTGTAACTGGCAAGAGAATTCAAGGGGTATGTCTTTTTCTTTTTCTTCAGAAAATTAGCAAGAAAATAAATGTATTGGTAAATTGTTGGATCTGAATACGAGAGACGCGTATTTGAGTTATGAACTTGTTTGTGGATTTATATTCTCGCACCTGTTTGTGTAAGAACTTTAATGCTAAAATGGGGACATCTTCCGGGGACAAGACATGGAGTTGATGATGAAACTGAATATTCTTGCTTGCATCACTGATGAATTGATTAGATAAGTTTTGAGATTGTTATTGTTTTTTGTTTCTGAACATTGCTCGAGTTGATGGCTCAAGACATCTGACACTTGCTGTCTGTTTCAAAATTCTTTTTCCTTGTTAAATTCGGTATATAATGTCTTGTTATAGTATTAGTGTACATGTATATATCCACATATACTCACACAGAGAAAATTTTGGTCACTTCAATTATATAGTACACAATATGAATGTGGTTGTACATGTGCTGTGGCTTGATTTATGAGCCAAGGCTATATTACAATATGAAATGCGGTTGTACATGTGTTGCGGCTTGATTTATGAGCTAAGGCTCAGAGGAGGAGGGGCTTCATTCTGTTTTAATTTGTTTGGTCTGCAATTTGGGTATAATGTGTGATGCTTAGTATACGTTCAGCTGTGATAGTGTGGTTGCTCTATGCTTGCAGATTCCTCACTTGAGACCTGCTGAATATAAGAGGTCTAGATTATCTAGAACCAGGAGGACTGTGAACCGGCCTTATGGGGGCGTATTATCTGGAAGTGCTGTCAGGGAAAGGTTTGTTCTTTCCAAAACTTCAATGAAGACTGACAAGTTTTTTCTCTTGCATATTGTTGCCTTTGATAAGGCTATTTAACTTATAATCTCATTTGTTTTACAGGATCATTCGTGCCTTTTTGGTCGAAGAGCAAAAGATTGTTAAGAAGGTATTGAAGATTCAGAAGGCCAAGGAAAAGCAAGCCACAAAGAGTTAAGACTGAGAAGTTTAGTGGATTGCAAGATACTTTTAGAGTATTTGTTATGGACAATGATATTGAATCTTGGAAAGTAATTTAGGTTTTCCATTTTGGATTTGGATTTGTATTTTGCTTTTGATGGTATGAACATGATTTACTCCACCTTGTCGACAAGTCCATTGTGTTACTGTTTTATTTTTCGTTATCCTTTCTGTTCATTGACACTTTTGAAAGTTAATTTTGATCGACTATTCCATACCAAATTAGTTTTGAGTAATGTTGTACGCATCCATCTATATTTAACTTGACAGAATGAAAATCCTCCCTATACAGCCACATCTGAATGAGTTTTTTCTGTCCAATTGAAAATACAAATTATCTGGTAAATCTTGCGGGATTATTAACAAAATATTCTGTTTTTGCCTTGTATTTTTGTAGGATTTGGATATTTATTTACCCTTTCATTTGTTATTGGTAGGGCCGGGGATTAAATTTCTAACTAATGGTATTCTTTTCCATATTAATCGAGGAGTCATTTCTTTGTCATGGTTTGCATCTATTCTGTTTGGACCTCTTTGCTTAGTCTATTATGATCATAACATGTGCTTAGGCATATTCACGTTTTCAGGCTCTTTTACTTGAAATATATTTCGGATGGTAGGTTTGATGCTTCTGGCTGTCAGGAGTTGATATTGGGCACTTGTTTTACTATGACAGGATCTATGTTGTTGAGGATTGGGACACTAAAAGGAAAACATGAATAGTGAAAATGCTCCTTAATCTTATTATGATTTATGAATGTGTTTCAATTTTGAACCCTGTCCTCTTTGCATATTACTTAGTGAGCCAATCAATGAATTGCTCTCTACTGGTTAACTTTGTTGCAACTCTTGCAAGTAATTTTCCAACTGTGTTTGCTCTAAGAAAGCATTGGGATTGTTCATGAAATCAGAAGTAGCTGGAGTTTAAACGTGGCTCATTAGTGACTTTTAAATGTCCAGCGGAAAAGAAATAGGTGTTGATAACATGATGTATGATGGAGTTACAAAAGATGTGCTGTCTGAATCCCGCAGGTTAAATTTTTGGTGGCTGGATAAACATTTCTCTGATTAAGGCGACCAGTTTGTCATGAGGAGGGAGTGTCTCTTTGATCAAAGGGCAGCCCTCTAAAGCAGTCACCCATGAGAAAAATGCTTGGTGCTTGTCAAGGCCATAACTGATGCCAAGAGCTTCTTCGAAAGCTCCATAAGTGCAAGAATTTGCAGCCGCAACGATATCAAGGGACCCCAAGTTCTGACCATTGAAGAAGGGAGGTTTTGTAGGGAAGTCCTTTCCTATCCCTTCTTCAAACACCCTAAGAAACCCTCTCAAGTCCGCCACAGCTTTCTCTCGCTCTTCTCCTTGCGAATATATGATGGGGTATGTACTTGGTAGGAGCTGTTAAGAGAAGACAACTTCATTAGCATCTATACAATGAGAATAAAAGAGGAGATAAATTTAAACTACCTTCTGATCATAATAGTTGGCCCAAAAGCGAATTTTGGCTCTCTCAAAAGGATCCTCAGGCAGTATATTCTAGGATGACGAGCGACTCAGCAATGGGCTTGCCATTGTGAACCAGCACGGGCACCTTCTGGTGCACAGGATTGTAGTGAAGTAGCGAGTCAGTCTTGTTTGTTAGATCTTCCTCCACGTACTCATAGGGTATGCCCATGAGTTTTAGGGCTAACTCAACCCTGTCAGTGTAGGCGCTATCCCAATTCCCATATAACACAACCTCATCACTTTTTCCATTCTCTCTGAATTGCTTATTAATTTTCTGCTCGGGTTTGACATGCTTTTATAGAGTTCATCAGTGGAAATTGGCATTGGTGTTAGGTAGTCAAATGTATTTCTTGTTAAAGGGTGTATTGAAAAAAATAAAAAAAAGATTCCTTGGACAAGAAGTTAGAGATTTGATAGTTTGTTGGTGTTAGTGTATTTCTTTAAAATGTCAACTTCAATTCTCATGGGATGAATGATAAAATAATTTTTCTTTTTCATCGTTCTCCTATGTATTTGTTGATGCCTTGTTTTATCAAGGAAACCCAATAGCCCCAAATGGGTCTAATCAAAGAAACAATTTAACAAAAAGAAGTTTGAAAACCATTTGACGCTTTAGCAAAGCCCATTGAGCTCGTTTCAAAGGTTTGTTATTCATAAACCCTTTCCCAAGGCCAATGGACCCAAGCCACTTCAATGGGACATTACCTAGTGGGTTATGGTGTGGCATGTAAAAATAGGGCTGCAAAAAACTGGTTAACCGAACTGGATATGTGCTTTTTCTAACTAAACCGGTTTTTTGGTTCAAGCCATATTGCAAACCGAAACCGGTCCGAAACATGGCATAAACCGGTTGCAAACCAATCTAGATTTTTGGTTTGCAATTTGGTTAACTGGTTTGCAAACCGGTTTTATTACAAGGCTTTCCTTTTTTTTTTTTTTTTTTTCTTATGATAAAAAAATTTCCTACTTTTGGATGACAAAATTTCAAGAGACCAAAAAACCAAACGATCCACAACAATTTGACCAATTAATGCTATTGAATTCTTCTCATCTAAGCATAATAACTAATCATCACCAATTACGTTATCATAAAACATAAAGTATTCCTTTAAATTTTAATGGCCAAGTACAAAAGTGATTAAGAAATAATAAGTGAAAGTTGTAAACTGGCGTCTCCCCTCCACTTTAAGGCTTAAGCATTCTTCAATTGGCCAAGTGCAATCACGGAATCACCTGTAAGAGGAATGAAAAACTTACATTTACTCTCTCTATTACCTTTCAAAAACTAATAATTTAAATGAATTGGTATTATGTATTAAGGCCAAATATCATAATAGAATATGCAAAAGGATTGATTGCAATAATTATTAAATGATATCCTAGCAACATTATAATGAGAAAATAATCAAAATAACAACAAGCATATTCCAGAATTTGAAACAGCAACTTACCAACAAAACCTCTATTCCAAGAGGACCAAGAAGTAACACCATATCACATCTAAAGACAATTGTTGTGAAAAATGAAAATCTGATCATAATGTTTTCTTTTCTATCATAAATAATCAAACATACAGGACAAAAAATTAAAAGTAATACACCTCATTTATTGGGTTGACGTTCAATCATCCATATGACTTGTGCTTTCCAATCCGAAACGCTCAAGTTCTACAAATAATTGGACAAGCACGTTAGATAAGTTATATTTGCAAAATATATTTAACAAAAACAACAAATAAATAACCAAAAATTTAAAAGTAAAGGAACAATTTTACCCATGTCAAGTTGTGATATTTCGTCCAAGCTCTCCTCTATGATGAATGGTACAAGCGAAGCCCAAACCCAATCCTGTGTACAAATAAGAGCCTCCACCATCTTGGGAGTGAGGAAGCTACGAAATTGATCCAATACATGAGCCCCAATACTGAACGCCGACTCAGATGCAATGGTAGAGACAGGCATAGTCAATACATCTCATGCTATCATAGACAAAGCTCAATATTTTGTTGAATTTAACTTCCACCATTGCAAGATATCAAAGCTCTTATTGTCATCTTCACAATCGTCCGTAAAATATTTGTCCAACTCTGTTTTGTGTTTCACAACTTTTTTTCCAGCCTGTTTCTCATGATACATAACCTTCCTAAACTCCTCATTATCAAGATCTACATCATCAACATCAATCTCCATTGCAACTCGAGTCTGCTCACTTGGTTGCGCACTAGGGACCACTTTAAGCGAACTATATTGCTCAAATAAAGCCACCAAAACTTCCTTCACTTTTGTGTTCAACCTATCAGCAAGAACCATATCAAAAGACTCATTAACAACCCAATCCACATATTCTAACTTGTGTCTCAGATCTAGTACCTCTGCAATGAATAACATGAGGTTGATATTATCAATATTTGACCAATATTTATCATATTTCCCCTTCACCCTTAGAGCCATACTACATAACCCGGGATCTAGACTTGTACACCATTTTGAAATCTTCAACCCAATGCCAAAAATGTCTCGCATGTAAGCATTACTAGTGACATAAAGCGAGTCAGAGACATGTAGAGTAGCATCATAAAAGACTTTCAAAAAAGGTAAGAAGTACTGTGCATACTCCCAATCAATGCATGTAGGCAAACCCCTAGACCTTTCCCCACTACTAAGCTCATCTGAATACTTACTATCCTCTATTTCCAACAACTCAAAAGCTTTCTGGAATTTTAATGTTGCATCCAACATCAAGTATGTGGAATTCCACCTTGTTTCAACATCGAGAACCAATTGAGTTTTACTTTCAATTTCTTCTTTTGCCACACACTCCTTAAATTTGTGTAAACTTGGCGGAGAAGACCTCACGTACCTCACTACCGAACGAATTTGGAATATGGAGTCGTCCATATCTTTTAATCCCTCTTTTACAACTAAACTCAATATATGAGCACAACATCTCATGTGGAGGAAGTCACCATCCAAGACACTCCTTTTCCAACTTCCCAATTGAGTCTTTAGATAACTTATTCCAACATCATTGGAGCTTGCATTATCAACAGTGATTGTGAAAACTATAGAAATACCCCACTCAAGCAAACACTTCTCCACTGCCTTGCCAATCGCTAACCCTCTATGACTAATAATTGGATAGAAGTTTATAATCCTTTTTTGTAAAACCCAGTTTTCATCGATGAAGTGAGCTGTCAGACACATATAATTGAGGTTCTGACAACTTGTCCATGTATCCGTGGTGAGAGAAACTCTTTGTGAAAACTTAGCAAAAAACTTCTTCATCTTTTGACACTCTTCATTATATATTTTAATACAATCTGAAGCAATTGTTGTTCGGCTGGGCATTTGAAAACTTGGCTGAGCCACACTCATCAACTCCCTAAACCCCTTACGCTCAACAATCCTAAAAGGTAACTCATCAATAATGACCATTTTAGCTAGAGCCCGTCTAACCGCATCCTAGTCAAATTTCCAAGTCAGAAGTGAAGAATGTGGAGCGCTACTCGACTGATCACATGCCTGTTGTGCTTGTTGAAACACTAATGTCTTATGCTTCTTGTCCACCACATTCAAGGGATACTTTTTCCACCAACTTAAATGGTTATGCAAACAACTTGTACCGCTCTTACTTGGACAAGTTAGAACATTCCCACAGTAATTACATGATGCAG